TTGCTCTTAGACACGTCAATATTGAGAAAAATACAAAAGTGTAAAAATTTGATGAATATTTTACTTTTTCGTGTTGCTATGGTAACACTTGGGGAACAGAGCACAATACAAAAAATCTTTTAGAACAAAAGTTGTGGCAAATTTTATTCTTATCAATATTGCTCTCTTGTACTTTTGCTTTCAGATGCACCTATGTCGAGATATACAAGAAAATATGAAAATTTACTGAATTTGTTGCTTTTTCATGTTGGTATGGTATTACTTGGAAAACCGAAGACAATACAAAAAATCTTTTAGAACAAAAGTTGTAGCAAATTTTATTCTTATCAATATTGGTCTTTTGTACTTTTGCTTTCAGATGCACCTATGTCGAGATATACAAGAAAATACGAAAATTTCCTGAATTTGTTGCTTTTTCAGGTTGCTATGGTATTACTTGGAAAACCGAAGACAATACAAACAAATTTTTACAACAAAAGTTGTGGCAAATTTTATTCTTATCAATATTGCTCTCTTGCTCTTTTGCTCTTACATACGTCAATATTGAGAAATATACAAAAATGTGAATATTTGGTGAATTTTTTACCTTTTCATATTGTTATGGTATCATTTGGAAAACCGAAGACAATATAAAAAAACTTTTCGAACAAAAGTGATAGCAAATTTTATTCTTAAGAATATTGCTCTCTTGCACTTTTACTTTCAGATGCATTTATGACGAGATATATAAGAAGATATGAAAATTTGATGAATTTGTTGCTTTTTCATGTTGCTATGGTATCACTTGGAAAACCGAAGACAATACAAACAAACTTTTAGAACAAAAGTTGTGGCAAATTTTATTTTTATAAATATTGCTCTCTTGCACTTTTGCTCTTAGATACGTCAATATTGAGAAATATGAAAAAAATGTGAATATTTGGTGAATTTTTTTCCTTTTTATGTTGTTAATGGTATTACCTGATAAACCGAAGACAATACAAAAAATCTTTTAGAACAAAAGTTATAGCAAATTTTATTCTGAAGAATATTGCTCTCTTGTACTTTTGTTTTTAGATGCACCTATGTCGAGATATATAAGAAAATATGAAAATTTCCTGAATTTGTTGCTTTTTCATGTTGCTATGGTAGTACTTGGAAAATCGAAGACAATACAAACAAATTTTTAGAACAAAAGTTGTGGCAAATTTTATTCTTATCAATATTGCTCTCTTGCACTTTTGCTCTTAGATACGTCAATATTGAGAAATATACAAAAATGTGAATATTTGGTGAATTTTTTAACTTTTCATGTTGTTATGGTATCACTTGGAAAACCAAAGACAATATAAAAAAACTTTTCGAACAAAAGTGATAGCAAATTTTATTCTTAAGAATATTGCTCTCTTGTACTTTTGCTTTCAGATGCACCTATGTCGAGATATATAAGAAAATATGAAAATTTGATGAATTTGTTGCTTTTTCATGTTGCTTTGGTATCACTTGGAAAACCGAACACAATACAAACAAATTTTTAGAACAAAAGTTGTGGCAAATTTTATTCTTATCAATATTGCTCTCTTGCACTTTTGCTCTTAGATACGTCAATATTGAGAAATATACAAAAATGTGAATATTTGGTGATTTTTTTACCTTTTCATGTTGTTATGGTATCACTTGGAAAACCGAAGACAATATAAAAAATCTTTTACAGCAAAAGTTATAGCAAATCTTATTCTTAAGAATATTGCTCTGTTGTACTTTTGCTTTCAGATGCACCTATATCGAGATATATAAGAAAATATGAAAATTTCATGAATTTGTTGCTTTTTCATGTTGCTATGGTATCACTTGGAAAACCGAAGACAATACAAACAAACTTTTAGAACAAAAATTGTGGCAAATTTTATTCTTATAAGTATTGCTCTCTTGCACTTTTGCTCTTAGATACGTCAGTATTGAGAAATATAAAGAAATGTGAATATTTGGTGAATTTTTTGCTTTTTCATGTTATTAATGGTATCACCTGGGAAACCGAAGACAATACAAAAAATCTTTTAGAACAAAAGTTATAGCAGATTCTATTCTTAAGAATATTGCTCTCTTGCACTTTTGCTTTCAGATGCATTTTTATCGAGAAATATAAGATAATATGAAAACTTGATGAATTTGTTGCTTTTTCATGTTGTTATGGTATCACTTGGGAAACCGAAGACAATACAAAAAATTTTTTAGAACAAAGTTATGGCAAATTTTATTCTTATCAATATTGCTCTCTTGCATTTTTGCTCTTAGATACGTCAATATTGAGAAAAATACAAAAATGTGAAAATTTGAGGAATTTACTGCTTCTTCATGTTGTTAATGATATCATACGGGAAATAGAACACACTACAAAAAATCTTGTAGAACAAAAGTTGTGGCACATTTTATTCTTATCAATATTGCTCTCTTGCACTTTTGCTTTCAGATGCACCTATGTCGAGATATATAAGATAATATGAAAATTTGATAAATTTGTTGCTTTTTCATGTTGTTATGGTATTATTTGGGAAACCAAAGACAATACAAAAAATCTTTTAGAACAAAAGTTATGGCAAATTTAATTCTTAACAATATTGCTCTCTTACACTTTTGCTCTAAGATACATGAATATTGAGAAATATACAAAAATGTGAATATTTATTGCGTTTTCATGTTGTTAATGGTATCACTTGGGAAACCGAAGACAGTACAAAAAATCTTTTAGAACAAAAGTTGTGACAAATTTAATTCTTAACAATATTGCTCTCTTGCACTTTTGCTTTCAGATGTATTTATATCGAGAAATATAAGATAAAATGAAAATTTGATGAATTTGTAACTTTTTCATGTTGTTATGGTATTATTTGGGAAACCAAAGACAATACAAAAAATCTTTTAGAACAAAAGTTATGGCAAATTTAATTCTTAACAATATTGCTCTCTTGCACTTTTGCTTTTAGATGCACCTATGTCGAGATATATAAGATAATATGAAAATTTGATAAATTTGTTGCTTTTTCATGTTGTTATGGTATTATTTGGGAAACCAAAGACAATACAAAAAATCTTTTAGAACAAAAGTTATGGCAAATTTAATTCTTAACAATATTACTCTCTTACACTTTTGCTCTAAGATACATGAATATTGAGAAATATACAAAAATGTGAATATTTATTGCGTTTTCATGTTGTTAATGGTATCACTTGGGAAACCGAAGACAGTACAAAAAATCTTTTAGAACAAAAGTTGTGACAAATTTAATTCTTAACAATATTGCTCTCTTGCACTTTTGCTTTCAGATGTATTTATATCGAGAAATATAAGATAAAATGAAAATTTGATGAATTTGTAACTTTTTCATGTTGTTATGGTATTATTTGGGAAACCAAAGACAATACAAAAAATCTTTTAGAACAAAAGTTATGGCAAATTTAATTCTTAACAATATTACTCTCTTACACTTTTGCTCTAAGATACATGAATATTGAGAAATATACAAAAATGTGAATATTTATTGCGTTTTCATGTTGTTAATGGTATCACTTGGGAAACCGAAGACAGTACAAAAAATCTTTTAGAACAAAAGTTGTGACAAATTTAATTCTTAACAATATTGCTCTCTTGCACTTTTGCTTTCAGATGTATTTATATCGAGAAATATAAGATAAAATGAAAATTTGATGAATTTGTAACTTTTTCATGTTGTTATGGTATTATTTGGGAAACCAAAGACAATACAAAAAATCTTTTAGAACAAAAGTTATGGCAAATTTAATTCTTAACAATATTGCTCTCTTGCACTTTTGCTTTTAGATGCACCTATGTCGAGATATATAAGAGAATATGAAAATTTGATTAATTTCTTGCTTTTTCATGTTGCTATGGTATCACTTGAAAAACCGAAGACAATACAAACAAACTTTTAGAACAAAAGTTGTGGCAAATTTTATTCTTAGCAATATTGCTCTCTTGCACTTTTGCTCTTAGATACATCAATATTAGGAAATATACAAGAATGTGAAAATTTGATGAATGGGGAAATATGGTGCTTTTGATAAAAAAGTTAACCTCAAAACAGAAATCAAATACCTAGGGGCAATACTAGAAGTAAATTAAACTGGAACTCCCACATAGTCAAGATCAGTAAAAAAGCCACCTTGGAAGGAACTGAGGTCTGAAACCATGAATGGCTCACTGTGCCTAAATAGCAATAATCAGACCTATGACATAAAGGACATAAAGGAACCTTGAAGCAATACTTCATTAAGGACCTACATTTGCCCTAAACCCTTGGAGGGCTTAAGCTACAATAGCTCGCGGTGACGAGAGAGTCTGTTTCCCTCAGCCCGGCAGTAATAATAATGATAATGTTGATTGGTGTGAATCAAAATTGTTCTAATCGATTAAAAACACCTATAAGATAGTCACTGAAAACAAAACGGCTTAAAAAAATGATTTTGACATTTTTTGAAAATGTTTCAAAAAGACCAGGAAATAGAAAAAATTGATTGGTGTGTGTCAAAATGGTTTAAATCGGTTGTAAACATTTTTAGAGTCATATAAATCACCATGAGTGTCATAGATCCAAGTAATAAATTATCATTTGTTGCAAAAATCACTATAAATAAATGTATATTATTGTATAAACACACAAATAAAAATGACTTTCATAACAATTTATTTTAAATAGGATGATTCTTTCCACTGATTTCGTTTCGCAATAATAAAACTTTTTTTTTGACGTAACTCGAACGTTTTTTTTTTATTGTTAGATAATCGGAGCCCCATTACCAGGCATAAAATATTTATAAATCGCTCGCGAACGCCGCCGTTCGGTCACGGTAGATTATCGCGCTAATTTGAGTTTAAACGGACCTCATCTATGCATATAGCGAGCAGCGCTTCGCTTCCAACAAACTTTCTATTTCCACGGTAAACGATTTTAATAAATAATAGCAAAAAAAAATACTCACGTAAACAAATCAAGAAACATCTCGTTTACGTCATCATACATTGACAAATACTATCAAAATACTCAAAAATAATATTTTAATCTTTTTTGTGGGCCCCTAAAAAAAGAAAATTTTTTTATTATAAAGATTTTAACGCAAACTATTCAAGATGGATATGCTATCCATCAGAAAAGTTCGATTACATGGTATGAAAGATTCGAGATGGATGACTAAAGATAAAATAACGCAATACAAAGGGTTGATTAATTTATTTAGTGAGTTTCAATTTTGGATTTATTTCTTTATTTTTTTAACGTTGAATATTTTTGTAGAGAGGGATAAGAAAATTTCAAATTCCGATAAATCGGTCGCTACCAAAAGGGATAAACGAGCTTTGGCTACGTTAAAAAAGGAAATCGCTGGCGATCGTGATCTTTTAGATAACGCTTTATACGGTGATAAACAAATAATAAGAAATGCTTTATTAAGCGATAAACGGATTCAATTGGCTTACGAACGATTAGAACCGCATATTATCGTGGAACATTTACAACAACAAAAATTTAATTGTCGCAAGAAAATGGATTTGATGCAATTCGAAAAATTACAAAAGGCTAAACGACTTGTTACTGTCAAGGTAAAGTTTTTTTGCGTTAACTATAAAAGTAAAGTTTTGATTCAATGTCAAAAATCCGAAACTTTCTAGTTAGAAAGAAGACTAGTTACAATAACAACTAAAACTAGAATTAACCTAGAACTAGAAACATTCAGGTTTAGTTTATTGTTTTTATTAAAACAATTTTTCAAAATTTTTGCTTGGTGGCGCTATACGCTGCAATTATTTTATTTCCCACTGAAGAGTACACAACAATTCTTTTCTATATCGAAAAATTTTTCAAATAAAAGTTGTTTAGAATTTAATTTATAATAAATTATTTTAATAAACTTTTTTAATATTGTTACTAGATGGCGCTGTATACTGGTACAAAAAATAATTAATTTGAGGTTATGTTGATAATTATTATTGGTATCAAAAAGTTTTTCAAATAAAACATGTTTATAATTTAATTATAAACAATTTTTATTAAAACAATTTTTCAAAATTTTTACTTAGTGGCGCTATACACTGCAATTATTTTATTTCCCACTGAAGAGTACACAACAATTTTTATCTATATCGAAAAAATTTTCAAATAAAAATTATTTAGAATTTAATTTATAATAAACTATTTTAATAAACTTTTTTAATATTACTACTACATTGGACTGTATACTGGTACAAAAAATAATTAATTTGAGGTTATGTTGATAATTATTATTAGTATCAAAAAATATTTCGAATAAAACATGTTTATAATTCAATTATAAACAATTTTTATTGAAACAATTTTTTAAAATTTTTGCTTGGTGGCGCTATACGCCGCAATTATTTTATTTCCCACTGAAGAGTACACGACAATTTTTATCTATATCGAAAAATTTTTCAAATAAAAGTTATTTAGAATTTAATTCATAATAAATTATTTTAATAAACTTTTTTAATATTCTTATTAGATGGCGCTGTATACTGGTACAAAAAATAATTAATTTGAGGTTATGTTGATAATTATTACTTTAATCAAAAAGCACCTCGAATAAAAACTGTTTATAATTCAATTCTAAACAAATTTTATTAAAACAATTTTTCAAAATTTTTGCCTGGTGGCGTTATAAACTGCATTTATTTTATTTCCCACTGAAGAGTATGCAACAATTTTTATCTATATCGAAAAATTTTTCAAATAAAAGTTATTTAGAATTTAATTTATAACAAATTATTTTAATAAACTTTTCTAATATTAGTACTAGATGGCACTGTATACTGGTACAAAAAAAAATTAATTTGAGGTTATGTTGATAATTATTACTTTAATCAAAAAGCACCTCGAATAAAACATGTTTATAATTCAATTCTAAACAAGTTTTATTAAAACAATTTTTCAAAATTTTTGCTTTGTGGCGCTATACACTGCTATTATTTTATTTCCCACTGAATAGTACATAACAATTTTTATCTATATCGAAAAATTTTTCAAATAAAATTTATTTACAATTTAATTTGCAATAAATTATTTTAATAAACTTTTTTAATGTTCTTACTAGATGGCACTGTATACTGGTACAAAAAATAATTAATTTGAGGTTATGTTGATAATTATTACTTTAATTAAAAAGCATCTCGAATAAAACCTGTTTATAATTCAATTCTAAACAAATTTTATTAAAACAATTTTCCAAAATTTTTGCTTGGTGGCGTTATACACTGCAATTATTTTATTTCCCACTGAAGAGTACACAACAATTTTTATCTATATCGAAAAATTTTTCAAATAAAAGTTATTTAGAATTTAATTTATAACAAATTATTTTAATAAACTTTTCTAATATTAGTACTAGATGGCGCTGTATACTGGTACAAAAAATAATTAATTTGAGGTTATGTTGATAATTATTACTTTAATCAAAAAGCACTTCGAATAAAAAGTGTTTATAATTCAATTCTAAACAAATTTTATTAAAACAATTTTTCAAAATTTTTGCTTGGTGGCGTTATACGCTGTAATTATTTTATTTCCCACTGAAGAGTACGCAACAATTCTTATCTATATCGAAAAATTTTTCAAATAAAAGTTATTTAGAATTTAATTTATAACAAATTATTTTAATAAACTTTTCTAATATTAGTACTAGATGGCGCTGTATACTGGTACAAAAAATAATTAATTTGAGGTTATGTTGATAATTATTACTTTAATCAAAAAGCACTTCGAATAAAAAGTGTTTATAATTCAATCCTAAACAAATTTTATTAAAACAATTTTTCAAAATTTTTGCTTGGTGGCGTTATACGCTGTAATTATTTTATTTCCCACTGAAGAGTACGCAACAATTCTTATCTATATCGAAAAAATTTTCAAATAAAAGTTATTTAGAATTTAATTTATAACAAATTATTTTAATAAACTTTTCTAATATTAGTACTAGATGGCGCTGTGTACTGGTACAAAAAATAATTAATTTGAGGTTATGTTGATAATTATTACTTTAATTAAAAAGCACCTCGAATAAAAACTGTTTATAATTCAATTCTAAACAAATTTTATTAAAACAATTTTCCAAAATTTTTGCTTGGTGGCGTTATACGTTGCAATTATTTTATTTCCCACTGAAGAGTACACAATAATTTTTGTCTATATCGAAAAATTTTTGAAATAAAAGTTATTTAGAATTTAATTTATAACAAATTATTTTAATAAACTTTTCTAATATTAGTATTAGATGGCGCTGTATACAGGTACAAAAAATAATTAATTTGAGGTTATGTTGATAATTATTACTTTAATCAAAAAGCACTTCGAATAAAAAGTGTTTATAATTCAATTCTAAGCAAATTTTATTAAAACAATTTTTCAAAATTTTTGCTTGGTGGCGTTATACTCTGTAATTATTTTATTTCCCACTGAAGAGTACGCAACAATTCTTATCTATATCGAAAAATTTTTCAAATAAAAGTTATTTAGAATTTAATTTATAATAAATTATTTTAATAAACTTTTCTAATATTAGTACTAGATGGCGCTGTATACTGGTACAAAAAATAATTAATTTGAGGTTATGTTGATAATTATTACTTTAATCAATAAGCACTTCGAATAAAACATGTTTGTAATTTAATTATAAACAATTTTTATTAAAACAATTTTTTAAAATTTTTGCTTGGTAGCGTTATACACTGCAATTACTTTATTTCCCACTGAAGAGTACACAACAATTTTTATCTATATCGAAAAATTTTTCAAATAAAAGTTATTTAGAACTTAATTCATAATAAATTATTTTAATAAACTTTTTTAATATTATTACTAGATGGCGCTGTATACTGGTACAAAAAATAATTAATTTGAGGTTATGTCGATAATTATTATTAGTATCAAAAAGTATTATGAATAAAACATGTTTATAATTCAATTATAAACAATTTTTATTGAAAAAGTTTTTCAAAATTTTTACTTAGTGGCGCTATACGCTGTAATTATTTTATTTCCCACTGAAGAGTACACAACAATTCTTTTCCATATCGAAAAATTTTTCAAATAAAAGTTATTTAGAATTTAATTCATAATAAATTATTTTAATAAACTTTTTTAATATTCTTATTAGATGGCGCTGTATACTGGTACAAAAAATAATTAATTTGAGGTTATGTTGATAATTATTACTTTAATCAATAAGCACTTCGAATAAAACATGTTTGTAATTTAATTATAAACAATTTTTATTAAAACAATTTTTTAAAATTTTTGCTTGGTAGCGTTATACACTGCAATTACTTTATTTCCCACTGAAGAGTACACAACAATTTTTATCTATATCGAAAAATTTTTCAAATAAAAGTTATTTAGAACTTAATTCATAATAAATTATTTTAATAAACTTTTTTAATATTATTACTAGATGGCGCTGTATACTGGTACAAAAAATAATTAATTTGAGGTTATGTCGATAATTATTATTAGTATCAAAAAGTATTATGAATAAAACATGTTTATAATTCAATTATAAACAATTTTTATTAAAACAATTTTTCAAAATTTTTGCTTGGTGGCGCTATACGCTGTAATTATTTTATTTCCCACTGAAGAGTACACAACAATTCTTTTCCATATCGAAAAATTTTTCAAATAAAAGTTATTTAGAATTTAATTTATAACAAATTATTTTAATAAACTTTTTTAATATTCTTATTAGATGGCGCTGTATACTGGTACAAAAAATAATTAATTTGAGGTTATGTTGATAATTATTACTTTAATCAATAAGCACTTCGAATAAAACATGTTTGTAATTTAATTATAAACAAATTTTATTAAAACAATTTTTCAAAATTTTTGCTTGGTGGCGCTATACACTGTAATTATTTTATTTCCCACTGAAGAGTACGCAACAATTCTTATCTAAATCGAAAAATTTTTCAAATAAAAGTTATTTAGAATTTAATTTATAATAAATTATTGTAATAAACTTTCTTAATATTTTTATTAGATGGCGCTGTATACTGGTACAAAAAATAATTAATTTGAGGTTATGTTGATAATTATTACTTTAATCAAAAAATATTTCTAATAAAACATATTTATAATTCAATTATAAACAATTTTTATTAAAACAATTTTTTTAAATTTTTGCTTTGTGGCGCTATACGCCGCAATTATTTTATTTCCCACTGAAGAGTACGCAACAATTTTTATCTATATCGAAAAATTTTTCAAATAAAAATTATTTAGAATTTAATTTATAACAAATTATTTTAATAAACTTTTTAATAGGATTCTTGGATTCTCGGTTTTTTCCGAAATATACAAAATCTGTCAATCTGCTAATTTAAATTTTTTAGCTTGAATACGCCGAATTATGTGACCGATTAACTTTCGAACAACCCGGTTCGTTTCCGGTTGAGCGTTTATGCAGAGAATACACATCCCACGTCCAAGATGCCATCCTAAAGAAAGAAGCCGCAATTGTTGTGAATGAAACTTACAAAAAAATAATTAGCGTTATGAAGAAAGATCAAATTTATTTCGACCAAATTCTGTACTGTTTAAACCAAGATGCCCGAAAACAAGCCAAATGCATGTTTGATACCATCATGCTCGGGCAATTAGCCATCGAATATTTAGATGATCGCCGCGAAGATTTCAGAGAACTCGAAGCAGCCGTTCAATGTGATATGACACTAAGAAAACAAACCGTTAAATCAACAAGACAAGTCGTCGAAAGTTTATCGAAGAACATCAAATTTTACATAAGAAGAGACGTAAATATTTATTTTAAATAACATTTATTTTAATAACATTTAATTTTAGAGCGACACTAATTTACCAGGAGATCTCTTTTTAAACACCAACACCGATATTGAAGCGGAAGTTGCTGAATTATGCAGAACTTTAGATCAACTCAAAGAAGCGTTTAGCGTAAATTATTATTTACAACTTTTCGACTGCTTAAAAGAACAAGATCGCCAAGCTCAACGATTAAGAGCTTTATGCGATCGCACTTTGGAAGGTCGCGATACTTTACAGAACCGTTTAAATCACGCCAATTTAAGTTACACGGAAATGGTGAATTCAGTTTGCGATGGCACGGCCGATTATGTCGAAGAAAAAAGATCGTTATTGGAATCGTTGGAGTACGGGGAATTTCGTAAAAAGGAAGCCATTAAAAAACGCGAGGTCGTCTCAACCGTATTGACAAACGTAAAAATTTCATTACAACAAATGGAACAAATGTGTAAAGTTGTACGCGATCCGAAAGAAAAGAAAGTAACGCCGAAACTTCCGTCCGTTGAAAAAAGCGTTGCTCTGATAAAAGCTGCGCGACATCCACAGATGATGAAACAAATGTATGAACATTTAATTAAAGATGTTATTGATATTAAAGAAGTTTGCGATGAAATTATTAATATTTTAACTCCGAAATTAGCGGTTGTTATGGCAGCAGCTGCTGGGGTGGTTCTTGATGAAAGAACACATGGATTAGCTGATAGTCAATTACAACGAATGACAAGTAAACGCACACCGTCTGTTTTGAGGGAGATCGCAGGACCGACTGAGTGTAATAAATTATTAAATTAAAAAGAGAATAATTGTAATTATATTATTATTTTAGCATTGGTTGAAGGACTCACTATGGAGGACTTTGGAATTCCGACTAGAGCTGATATAAAGGCACAAAGTGATGAAATCGTTTTGATTTGTACTAAAAGTGACGATTCCTGATAGTGAAGAAAGAAATAACGAGAAATCATATTTTTTGTGGGGTGTAAAAGATTTTTTTTTATGTATATTTTTTTTGTTTAAGTATATTTTCTTTTAAAATATTTCCTGTTTTTTATTTTTATAATTAAGTTTGTTGTCATTGATGATATAGATAATTATCATATACCTAGATAAGAATTATTGCGTACTCTTCAGTGGGAAATAAAATAATAGCAGTGTGTAGCGTCACCAAGCAAAAATTTTGAAAAATTGTTTTAATAAAACTTGTTCAAAATTGAATTATAAACATGTTTTATTCGAAGTGCTTTTTGATTAAAGTAATAATTATCAACATAACCTCAAATTAATTATTCATTGTACCAGTATACAGCGCCATCTAGTACTAATATTAGAAAAGTTTATTAAAATAATTTGTTATAAATTAAATTCTAAATAACTTTTATTTGAAAAATTTTTCGATTTAGAAAATAATTGATATGTACTATTCAGTGGGAAATAAAATAATTGTTGTGTATAATGCCAGCAAGCAAATATTTTGAAAAATTGTTTTAATAAAAATTGTTTATAATTGAATTATAAACATGTTTTATTCGAAGTACTTTTTCATACTAATAATAATTATCGACATAACCTCAAATTAATTATTTTTTGTACCAGCATACAGCACTATCTAGTAATAATATTAAAAAAGTTAATTAAAATGATTTATTATAAATTAAATTCTAAATTACTTTTATTTGAAACATTTTTCGATATAGACGAAAATTGTTGTGTACTCTTCAGTGGGAAATTAAACAATTGCAGCGTATAACGCCACCAAGCAAAAATTTTGAAAAATTGTTTTAATAAAACTTGTTTATAATTGAATTATAAACATGTTTTATTCGAAGTACTATTTAATTATAGTAATAGTTATCAACATAACCTCAAATTAATTATTTTTTGTACCAGTATACAGCGCCATCTGGTAATAATATTAGAAAAGTTTATTAAAATAACTTATTATAAATTAAATTCTAAATAACTTTTATTTGAAAAATTTTTCGATTTAGAAAATAATTGATATGTACTATTCAGTGGGAAATAAAATAATTGTTGTGTATAATGCCAGCAAGCAAATATTTTGAAAAATTGTTTTAATAAAAATTGTTTATAATTGAATTATAAACATGTTTTATTCGAAGTACTTTTTGATTATAGTAATAGTTATCAACATAACCTCAAATTAATTATTTTTTGTACCAGTATACAGCGCCATCTGGTAATAATATTAGAAAAGTTTATTAAAATAACTTATTATAAATTAAATTCAAAATAACTTTTATTTGAAAAATTTTTCGATTTAGAAAATAATTGATATGTACTATTCAGTGGGAAATAAAATAATTGTTGTGTATAACGCCAGCAAGCAAATATTTTGAAAAATTGTTTTAATAAAAATTGTTTATAATTGAATTATAAATATGTTTTATTCGAAGTACTTTTTGATTATAGTAATA